GGTGTAAGTACATTTCGTGAGAAAATGCTGTAAAATACAGCATTGTCCTCGCCAAGACGGCAAACAATATCACCTTTTGCAAGTCAGTTTGACTGAGCTAGTCTTTGAGGAAGTGAGCAGGCCTCATCTGTTTGAAAGCTTGGAACATTTGTCATCTACGCCCTTCAGCTTAGTCATCATGCGGCGGTGAATTTTGTGTTGGAACCACCCTCAAAATGGCTGGTGGACGTCCCCAGTTAAAGACATGCCCAGGTTGCAAGTTGGAACTGTGCTTAGATTCAATTCCCTTTGCTTTTACAAAGGCAGTCGGCTTTGGGAGTTTGGGGGGGAAGCCTTGGCGTTGGAATTTGTAGCCTTTCCTCCAAGGGTCTGAGCAACGAGGCCTTTTCAGTCTTCCAACCTTTCTTAAATAGAAGCAAAAGCATGGCAGGCTAACATCTCCAAGTGATCAACCAGGTCTGGTGAATCTGGTGTAGGTTCTGAGATACCCCGTTTAGATACCCCCCTTGGCCCGAAAATGCATCAAGGGGGACTCTGCTCATGCAACATTTGTTTCTGGTGAGTAAATGGAAAGTCATGTATATGTAATTCACTCAGAGCCAAAATAACTTTCATAGAAAGGTATTTTCGGGATACACCGTTTACTTGCGAAATTTTGTCATTCCCGATTTGAGGCCAAGACAAGTGCTGGTCGCACATGACCTCCACTGAGCAGAACGTGATGCTCCACATGGTGAGGGCTCCAGGGGTGGAGCGGGGGATGGGGATGGGGATGGGTGGAGGGGGTGGGGTGAGCGTGTGCGCGAACCTTACTGAAGGGGTATGGATTCACTCACCCGACTCTATGTTTGGATTCCCTTTCAAACTACCAAAAGAAAGCCACCCCTTAAAAGGGACACACCCAAAGGGACAAATTGACAAAGCGGATGTGCAGACCCAAACAACCCATGGCCCATGCAAGGCTGCCAAGGCAGACCCTCGCAGAGCGCGTGAAGCAAAGAGCCGGCTGGCAAGTCCGAATCATTGGCGCGAGCTTCGGCCTTTTGGCCTGAGTCACAATGAACACCAGGGGAATTACGTTGGTGCATTTTGCTTGGATGTTAGGACTTCAACTTTTTGCCAACTAATGAGTTTTCTATTAAACCACTGAAAGTTAAGCTTTTAGCAGGGGGGCAGCAAGCAACTGAGGTTAAGAGAGAAGGTGAGAGGATTTCCCTGAGGGACAGCTGTGGACGATTCTTGAAGAGATAGCATCCTAAAGTTGCTTGCGGAGAATTCCAGGTGCTGTGTAAAGGATTAGGAACTCGATATCACAAGGTGAGTCCATAGAATTGAAACGGCTGCGCAGTTTTGGCTGGGATTGGTGAGAAGTGAAACGTAGATTGGGAGAAGAGGATGAATGGAGATGAGTGCCTGAGGTTGATCCTTGATTACCCCACTCTATCTCCTTCCACTCACTCACCCCTGGTTGTCTCCTCCCGTGGGGTGTTCCGTTTCAAGTCCAAGGCTACGCTGCCAAAAAGCAAACATGGAACCTTACATGCAGTTAACGTTCCACGGTCCTTCGGGTTCCATGTGTTTGTGAGGATATCGTGTTGATGTTCACCTTTTGACAGGTTGATCGTGTGTGTTTGTGTTGTGTGTGTGTGTGTGTTGTGTGTGTGTGTTGTGTGTGTGTGCTGTGTGTGTGTGCTGTGTGTGTGGGGTTTGTGTGTGTGCTGTGTGTGTGGGGTTTGTGTGTGTGTGTGTGAGTTTTCCTTGATTTCCTTTGGGCAAGTGAGGTCCTCTGCCAAGCAATACGTCCCCCTGCCCAGGTGGCGAAAGTGAATCGCCGCCTCAAGGAGCGCTCGAGTCGCGAGTCAGTGGCTTCGCTTTGTGGCCCAGTGGTAATAGCATATGATTACGATACTACAAGGAAACCAACGCAAGGTTTATGAAAAGCACCAACCATAAACAGCCCATTTCAGAAACTTTGTGTGGTATTTATTATTTTTTGGTTCATCAGGCCTATTTTCTCGTCGGGATTTAGACAAAATGCTGGCTGAGGGTTTGGTTGAAAACGCCGTACCTCGAATGTTTCACCTGCGCGTCTCCCCAGTTGTTTCATTCGATATTCAGATACCTTGTATTGTTCTTGTTGGCCCAAACGGCGCTGGGGATTTTCAACTCTTTTCAATTTGATGAGTGGAGAAGACCCCAGTGCACTTGTTTCTTTGTTTTTGGCCCTGAATGTTGATTCTTAATAGGGCACCCCGGCACCCCATGATGGACAGCATTTATGGGGATTCACTAACCGCAAATCGCTTTTGAGGGTTCCCTCCTGAAACTTCATCCGGAGCCAAAGGAGCTTTCCAAAAACGGTACCCGGTTGCTCCCAAGAAACCCGCTGCGCCCCAGGAAATGGAGCGAAAAGTCGGTTTTCTGATGCCGAGGTCACCCTTTGAGCGGACCCCGCAAGTGGGGATGGCCTTGGGGTTCTGAGCGTCAGCTTCTCATGGGACACCGCCCGAAGATTGGCTTTGTTTCAGGGATGCAACCGCCCGATTTCGGAGCAAAGGGCCACTGAAGGGAAAGGATGAGGGGAAAGAGGGTGGAGGTTGCCATTGGCATTTCTGTGCAAATGGGTATGGGACAAAATTTGCCAGGGTTCCACTTTGGGAAGCTATTTATGACCCACAGCCACATTAAAGGGAGCATTTGAGAGTTTCACGGAGGTCTGAGAGCAGGTGAAAAATACTTGGTGATGGGCAAATTCACATGAAGGGGGGAAAGCAAGCTTCTCATGATGTAGGTCCTTTGCTTGGCGATCCCTTATGTCCGTGTTTGGGTTCCTTCGCAGGTGCAGTAGCGTATCCCTATCGAATCCCTTTCGTCAGCCAGAATTCATGGGCATAAGGACCCCGCTGGAAAGGTCCTAAACACCTTACCATTCTTGTGGGTTTGTGAGTGTTTACAATTCACCCTGATAGGTTTTGCTTGTGCTGTTGTGAAATTAACCTCACCATGCTTGAGTGAATCAAACCAGCGGCAAAAAGTGAATCTTAACAGAACATTGGCCGCCCACCCACTCAAAACAAGGATTGCCGAATTTCCTGTGGCTGGTTTCCTAGAATGCCTAAGTTTCAGTGAAGCACTGCAGCCAGATGTGTTCTTTGGCCTCAGCTGCCGGCGCAGGAGGAAATGGGGTGAGCAGACTGGACCATGGTGGAAATGGGCGTGGTGAGAAGGGAGCCGAAAAAAGAAGCACTATCACTTTGGGGTGTTCCCGTACTCGGAGGCAACCCCACATTGGTCTGTAGTTTGCCAGTCTTCCTGCCACCCAAAGATGGCCCTGTGGTATTGCCTAATCGAGGAGAACACGCCCCGGTCTCACAAGCCCCTCCCCTGTCAAAGTCAGGGGCATGGGAATCCAAACAGCAAGGGTCCACAGCCCTTGGTGGTTGCCAGCCATTTGGTTCCTTAGGTGTTTAGCTTCTTTTTGTTTGTGTTTAGTGGGGAGGTCCATTTAACCCACTAAAAGCTAAGCTTTTAGCAGGGGATCTGAAAACGGATAGCCCAGTAATTGCAGCAACAGGCGCAACCTCTACATGAGAAGCAGAACAACAATTACAGGGATCTCTGCAGTTTGAAGCAAACACTGTGAATCTTCAGGGCTCCTTAAAAGATACATGTTGCCCATTTGAAGCATTGCTTTTTCCACCAAAATAAAGGGGAACCACCATTTACAAGGCAATGTTCAAGTGTATAATGTAAGGATCCCTGATCTTCCAGGCTACTATTTCTTCCTCGGGCATCCTTGGGAAGGAGCAATCAAGATGCTTCCCGTGCCAACAGACTCAGGTCACCTGCAAATTTTGGATCTTGCGGAGATTCGTCCCTCAACTAGTTCCTATTTTTTGGGCGGGGGGGCCTTGACAACCATAGGATCAAATGAACTAATCTCCAATGAAAAGGGCTACCCGTCCCTTGTTGCCGGTTTGGTTGCGTGGAACCCACCAGAAGCTGGCAACGAAGCCAGCCTCAAGAAACTTCATGACAACGCAATGTGTGAGGGTAAGGACCGTTCTTACATTTGCATATGTTTGCACTCTTGGTCCTGGTCCTGTTTGTCTTGAAATTGAGGTGTGGTCAGGTAAATCGTTTGCGTGGCTCGGGCAACAGTTCTTCATGGTTGGGTGTTCTATGTGATGGGTAGCCTCAATTCGGGTCTTGTGTTGCCATTGAGTTCTTCACGGACGCCGCGATGGCGATGCTCGAAAACCAGACAAGCCCACGGTATCCCCAAACAGCCCCGGAACCCCCTGGATCAGATTTTTCGGAGTCTCTCCCAAAGCTGCCCCAAACCAGCCCGAACCACGGAACGCGCTTATTTGGGAGACCCCAAAGCTTCCAGCCGAGCAAAAGTCTCTGTAAAGCTTGGCACCTTGCGTTCCTTTTACTGATGCTCTCCGGGTTTGGGTGGCCCGTTGTATAAGCCTTCTCGTTGCGAGCGGCTTCGAGGTTCATGTTCCTTTTGCTTGGACGAAAAAAACATATGTTGATTCGCAACTTTGGGTTCCCTAGGGCTCCTAAAGAACCCTCTGGTACTCGTTCAAGGGCATGTTCGATTGGGTTGTTGGAATGTGGAGGTTATACACTTCTCATAGGGTACCACCCTGTTCCCTTTATATAAGTATTGCTTCTCTCCAAACAACCAACTCGAACATGGCATTGACCTGCTGTGAGGGATTCCAAGCTGTTGAAGTTGAAGTTGGCAGGTGGTTTCATGGTGGTGAGGGCCGTATGGTGGTGATAGTTCACCCTCAAAGTGGCTGGGTTTCCTTTTGGCTCCTTTTCAAAGTCATCCAACACGGGCACCAAATTTTGACGTCCGCCAAATTGCGGGTCCCTAATCACACATCATGCAGCTGCATAGAACCTTGGATTGTGAACCAGAGTGTGGTGTTTTCGGGGCGCAAATTTTTACCCTGGCAGGTCGAGTTCGGCGCACGCGAACCGCGAGTCGGCTCAAGTTCTCACTGTCCATGCAAGCGTACTAACCTTAGATCCATAAATTCCGCCATGCGGGTTCTCGCCGAAGCCTCAGAGCCTCACCGACTCTTTTCGGAACATGTTGATTGCAGGGAAGCCGGACTTGAAACTGATTTGTTGATTGCCTTGCCCTTTTACCGTTCCTTCACGTGCGTTTCAGCCAGCAAACAGTTCACTTGGGGTGTAAGTCTGGCCAGAGTTCATTGTAAGATGTTGAAGTGGTACTCGTCTGGCGTTGACGCATCCGGAAGTTTAGTGGTGTCAACATTGAAGTTCGAAGTCCTACGAATCCTCCTTTGTTCAATCAATTCGGCCAAGCGAACTTTCTGGTGAACCGACGTCGTAGCTGAGATTCTACGGGCCCCTTTCACACGACTAAGGTTCGGCCGATGGGTTTGCTTGCTCCAAGTGGGGTCTGAGCGAACCCCCCAGGCCGTTGGGTCCTAAGCGAGAAGTGGACCAAGTGTTGGGCCTTTTTGCATTTGATTTGATTTTAGGTTTTAGGCGAATATTGAAACAGGCTCCTACTTCTGGTTTCGGAGTAGTTTGCCCATGGAAAGGGCCTCCACGTAGTTGCATTTGGCTCAAAATCAGCCTCATTCTTTCCGTGGTGTTTCCTTAGAAAACCACATGAGTGGCCATGGGCAAAGCATTGCACGTGTCAACGGCTTTCCCACAATTAAAGGCTGCTTGTATACATAAATGAAACCATGACCATTTTGGACCCTTTGGGTGCTTTCCCATATTTAAGCCATCACTTATGGGGGTTCACAACAGGGGTTCATATATGAGCGTCTACATTCTGCCTTAGACCCTAGCCAATGGTCAGGCCGACGACGGACCTACCTTTCAGGGAGGAAACCCACAACCTCCCCGAAGAAACCTCCCTTGAGGTTTCTTTTTTTCGGGCCCGATTTCATGAGGGCCCTTAACTGTGAGAGGTATCAAGGTTTGTGGGTTGTCAGGCTTTCAAGTTCCCTTCTCACTGTGGTTGGTATTTTTTTTAGTTTTTTGGGTGCTTTGGTTCTGTGCACCTTGGGGCCTGCAAAAAAGCCGTGCGCAATTTTTGCGGGCCCAAGGGTGAGAAAGATCCCAGACCTCCTGTGGCGCCTGTGATTCTTCTTCTTGGGGGGTCCTGGTTTGGCTTGATGCGTCTTAAGCGGCCAGACGGGGGGGGGGTGTGGGCATTTTATACAAAGATCCCGGTGTATCTCGTGGTTATATACATGTATTGTATTAGCATGTCTCATTGTGAGGAGCTCCTTTGGGCAATCAGCAACCTTTGCATAACCCACAACTCTAAGAAGAAGCAGTATAGCCCCTTTGTCAGCTCTTGTTCAACCCGGGGGAGAACCGTTTTTCCAGATATCATGTCAGCCAGAAAAGGGCCGGGGCTATTGTTCATGCCCAGGGTGGGCTTTTTTTTCTGGCGACCGTTGGTTCATGGCTCCCTGGAACAACCCATCTGCGACTTGTAGATATCGGGCAATGGCTCAACAAATCAACTAGGTCCCCCAGTGCCCTTTTACATCCGTTTTTGGTTGCGAGGGTTCCCCTACTAAAATAGACTACAGAAAAAAGGGTACCCTTTTTCTATCCTCTCTACTGGAGGACCTAGTCAAGATGTTCAGGGTTTGCAATGTACTTGGTGCAATTTACCCAGACAGGGCTCCGTGTTTCACTAGCCCAAAGGTAGACTCAAACCCACAAAAAAATCCCTTTTGGGGAAATCAACCACCCCTGGGTTTCAGTCCCCTTTGGGGTTGTCAAAAGATGGAGCCCTGTAGCTTGGATGGACGTGGTCCACTTTTTCTGGAACTGGTCGGTTTTGCTTCGAGGCTCTTTTCCTGCCACTCTGCTTGGCCGACACCGCGCCTCGGCTTGGCTTGCGGGTTTTGAGGTTACGCGAGCGAATCGAAATCCATACTGTGGATGGGCGAAATGCATGTCGCAACACTTTGAAAGCATGGGAAACCATTAGTTGGTATTTACAGGGGGAATCATCCGAAACGGGTTTCTGAGGTGGTTCGAAATGGATTTCGTCCATCCACAGTAGATTAGGGACGGTGGCGTGTTGCCGCGCCAGGTCCCTTGTCCCTTTTGGGAACCTACCATGGCGATCGCTTCAATGAAAGCCACCAGACAAAATGCAACTGTGGAAGGGGAAATCCAGTGACCTTGTCAAAGAAACTGATTTTAAATATATATATATATATATATATATATAATATATATATATAATATGTTTGTTTTTATTATTTCCCACAAAAAGTGTGGACTCCGAACGAGTTATTTACACAAGCACCCGGGGACTGGTCCGCCGCATGTTCAGGACATACACCCACCATGGTTTTGGCACTTTTTGGGTCGGCAGTCTCTTTTTTTCCCCCCGGGAGAGGGGGTGAAACACATGCGCCTTAGACGGACAACTTTCCAAAGGGCCTTTCTTTTGAAGCAAATATAGGTACGCACACTAGGTTCCATGGTCAAAACCACTTGGAGTTGGTACCTCGCAATGCCACAATGGTACGGATTTTCCTTCAGGAAGCCATGACCCCGGCCCGAATAAAAGCGAGTTTTGACAAGTTTGGGGCCATCCTTAGATGACACATCCATGTGTTTTTGAGGGTTACCTGTTCAGCTTGGTAGAACAAGCGAGCCCCCCCCTCATTCGGGAAGGGCCCCCCTTTTTGGCGCACACCCATATCGATTCGGAGCAATTGCAGCCAGCAAAGGTGACTAGTGCCATAAGCCCAAGCCCCCGAACCCCCTGGAACCCTCCGGAACCCTCCCTGACAGCTGCCCCAAACCACCCAGACCCATGAACTATCCATGGCTTTGAGCCAAAATTCCCAGCCAAAAGCAGAGAAACGTGTTTGATATGTGCAGACCCTTTGTCAATCCCTGAATTGGTGGTTAAGATCGGCTTGGAGGTTTGAACCGTTCCTTTTGTCGGATATTAGTCTATTGAGCCAAGTCTCTAAGGGTGGTGGACATACATCCACACCTACATGATGTCCATTTTTGGGTCCTGAGTTGAAAATCAGCGGTCGTTCTTTCGGGTATCCCCCACAAAGGATGTCGCATGTCCGTTTGGTGAACCCCCTTCAAAACCATGAAGCAAAGCGGGGCTTTCCGTTTGGTTTCCCTTCAAAACCATGAACAAGGGCAGGGCTCCTTAAAAGATCTCCATTTTGCCACCATTTGAAACATGTTGCCTTTTTCACACCAAAATCAAGGGAGCCCACCATTTACAAGTTGCAATGTTCAGGTGTATAATGCATCCGGATCCCTGAAGGGGCACCCTCCCACCAAAAAGACCAGCCAGTGTCGAGTCGAGTCGAGTCGCCGTAGGCAGTTCCCGTGGAGACCGCCAGCTTGCTTGAGCTGGAGCGATGTCGATCGAAATGGAACCCTGTTGGGTGTCCAGTTCCCGGGGTTGGCTTGCATAAGCAACCAAAACAACAATGAATGTGGGGAAAAAAAAAGCCCAACCCATTTCATAAACGCCCAAACCAACATTGGTGGTTCAAACAAAGAAGCTTCGCCAAAAGGACCCAGTGGAGTGGGGCCGTGGTACCCCTTTGTGGCCCCTACGGGAAACCAAAAGGAACGCCGTTGCGCCATTTTGGGGGGGTCCCCTCACTTCCTGAGTTCCGCTTCGCTCTTTGGGTTACCATTTTAGGGGTAAATAACAAGTAAGTCAATCCAGTCAGGAAGTGAGAATGTCAGGAGCTTCTCAAGAACGATGTCCCAGCACTTTCCTGAAGCCAACAAGACGCGAATTGTTGGGAAACACGCTTATTTCCTCAGCATCAAGTTGATTTGAGATGGCCAAGAGTCACAGATCGAGATTGCGTTGTCAAAAGATGAAGTGCATTTTGGTCATTCATGTATCTGGGCAAGTTAGAACGATCTCACAGATTCGGGACCGATTCGCGGTAAAGCGCTTGCTCGACGAAGATTCCCTATTTGGGGATATTGCCAGTTTGTGAGATACACGTGTTTCTTAGTTTTAGGCGACCTCCCAAAATGGTGATTTTCCTGCTGGTGTCCATTCAAAACCACAAAACTGGCGGTACTGTACCCTCAAAATGTCACGCCCATATAGTTTGTTGCCCTGGTTTGTGAACCTGGCGTCAGGCCATCCGGGAAGCTGATAGAGTTTTAGTGTCTTTCCGACTTACCTGAGACGGACATTGGCAGTAAGAGTATGCTGGTTACAGGTGGCACAGCCAGATTTTGCAGGTGTTTCCCTCTCAGGCAAGGGTGTTCAATGTTGCAACCTTTCTGGCGCGCCTCCTGGCATTCTCAAGCTGGGGGTCACACATATGGCAACCAACCCCCATCTTGATGTCTACGTGACCAGATTGTTTTCAAGATGGTTAGGGCTGAGGTCCTTGGTGTATGGTCAGAGGACCCCCACGGCGGTTCCTTTTGCCAACTTGTTGGAAGCATAGGTGGCCTGTTTTTTAGCTCAGTTTGAAAATCGATAGGTTCCACTGGTTGCAGCTTGGCTCTAATCATTTACCAGTGTCATCGATCTTACCAAAAGGACGCAAAGGCTGCATGTTTGAATGCCCAAAACGGAGCCAAAAGCGAATGGGCATGGTTCATATGTTTAAAGCATCTACATATGGTCTATTTAGCACCAAGACCACCAACCAATTTACGTTTTCCTTTTGCTTCCCAGCCATCCGGTTCCAGACCAGGTGTCTAGATTATTTTTTTTCTGTCAGGTGCCCTGCGGCTTGGGTCAGTCGGTTTTGGTTTTTTTTCGGCAAAAGTCTCCTGGACTCAGTGGACCCCCCTTTTTTTTTAAAGGTTCCACAGAGGAATGGAGATTAATTTTGGGAGAAATGTAAGGATGGTTGCAACATGGGATGGTTTGCGCAAGCGGTTCCGTGAGAGTGCACTCCTGAAGTTGATGAAAGGAGCCTGTTCAGCTTGAACGTGTTTTCAAAGATGTTGGCCTTCTTTTAAGTTGCGAGTGTGTGTGTGTGTGTGTGTGTGTTTCTTTTGCAGTACCCTTTTTGTGTTTATCCCATGCGAGCGCCCAAGATTCCTATTCGCCAAGTTGGAAGGTGGTACATGGTTTTATGGGGGTTGTAGTGAGGGCTTTCTAGGGTTCGATTCCCGATCCTTTTTAGGCATCGTTGCCTGCGAGCCGCTCCACCTGTGTGTTTGGTGTTTGTTGTCTTCTGGCATATGATTCCTGGCAAGAATGGGGAGCCTCTGATTGTTTTCTAAAGTCAAGGGGGGCCACGATCTAAACCACCGACTTAGGGCAACACGGTCTAACGGGGCGTGTAGTAAGGGCTTTTCAACTCTGCAAAGATTTTGCGCTACCACAAGTCCGCTCGTGCAAGGAAATGACAGTCTCGTTGTTGGAGGAGACATGAGAGGTCCAGCAAAATAGCCCATTTGATGTCAATTACCTTCTGCTCAAAGGGTTTAAATTGTTTCAGGTTAGTGGAAAAATCACATAATTTGCTCAAACAGTTAAGGTTTCAAGATCCAACCCAAGGAAACATTATTGCATCGCTGAGTCAGCACCATTCCGCCATTCCCAGGACCAGCGCCGAAGTAAGCGGGCTGTGCGACGGGAAGGTGATCCGGTAGAGGAGGCACGCAAGCCAGCAATGTCGACTCAATACTCACGCTTGAATTGGCAGACTCAAAAGGATTATATTTCTCTGAGTTGTGCAGCCATCCGGTTCCTTAGGTTTTCGCTTTCTTGGGTGGTGAAAGTTGGTTGGGTGTCCATTTAAGCCACAAGTGAAACTCGCTTTTCTCCGGTTCCTTAGGTTTTCGCTTTCTTGGGTGGTGAAAGTTGGTTGAGTGTCCATTTAAGCCACAAGTGAAACTCGCTTTTCTCCGGTTCCTTAGGTTTTCGCTTTCTTGGGTGGTGAAAGTTGGTTGGGTGTCCATTTAAGCCACAAGTGAAACTCGCTTTTCTCCGGTTCCTTAGGTTTTCGCTTTCTTGGGTGGTGAAAGTTGGTTGAGTGTCCATTTAAGCCACAAGTGAAACTCGCTTTTCTCCGGTTCCTTAGGTTTTCGCTTTCTTGGGTAGTGAAAGTTGGTTGGGTGTCCATTTAAGCCACAAGTGAAACTCTCTTTTCTCCGGTTCCTTAGTGGTTCGCTTGTTTGGGTGGTGAAAGTTGGATGTCCATTTAAGCCACCAGTGAAACTCGCTGAAAAAGGGACTGGATGAAGGCCCAGAGTGGCCACAAGACGGGTGCCCCTTGCCGAGACCTCGGGGCTGGAAGATCACGTTTGGACCCTCCAAATTTGCTCTGGACATGTCCGTTCAGCTAACGTTTTTTTTTTTTTACACACATCTCACCAAAAAGGGTACCAACAAAAATGACCGAGCCATATCCACCGTGAAGTTCGGGGCCGTGAGTTACATGTGCCACGGTCAAAAGACCAATTTCCTTCGCGCCAGGGGTTAAGCAGGGGAAGTTTTCTTTTCATCCACCTGGTAGTGCACCATGGTATTGATTCCTGTTGAGGGAGTTGTGACCCAATTGGCCAAACAAACGGCGCGGGTGGCTCCTGGTAAGTTGTGCCTTTGGCTTTTATCGGGAAACCTGTTGCCATTTTCTTATGGGTCCGCATCCCATAAGGCCATAAGGCCATAAGACACTGTTCCCTTGGTCTCCCCAGACTAGCATGAAATCCGCAAGTCTCCACGGCGGATGTCTTTTGTAGCAGATTAACCTCTACTTGCTCATGGGAAAGGATCGCACAGGGTAAATATGTTGTCATCTTCTAGGTTGTTCAAAGCCTTTGATGACATTGGGAGTGCTCTTCTGGGTTGACCATTGGTGTTTTTTCTCAAACGGTTTGGTAAGGGGTAGATTTGGATAATGCTCAAAATTTTCACCCACAAGTTAAGCTTTTAGCAGGGGATCTGAGGACAGCCTAGATTTGTGCGTCCTCAGAGACTGGTTTGTTTGCGGAGGAACACCTCTTTCTTGTCTGTCCGTTCAGAAGAGGACTCCTCCAACGTGAGCTTCGGATTTTCCGTTTCACCCAGAGGTGCCGCCCATAGATCATTTCCAGGCCACCCGACGGCAATTGGAATCGACCGGCTTCTCTCACATAGAAGCTGTGAATTGTTGCAGCACGCCATGTTTGTTTTCTTTTGTTTTCCGCTTTTGCTGCGGCGTGGCTTTTCCTCCCCTGACGGGTAATGCACCTTTTGCGGGCGGTACGCACCTGTGAGAACACTCCAAAAGGAATCCGAGAGAACGATGTGCGTATTCCGATCTTAACATGACCCTCCCTCCAATCATGGAAGCTCACGGGCTTTTGGATCACTACTTTCCGTTTAACGGGCTTTCCCAACTGTCCACGTCCATGGGAAACGCTTGGGTAAAATGTGAAGTTAGTGTCTTAACAGTGGTTGGGAACCAGATTGGGGGATCTTGTATTCCAAAAGTGTTTTTTTTTTTTTTTTTTACAAGGCGATCCAGATTGGTTACATTGGCCGCCCCTTTTGGTTGGAAACCCCACCTTTAGTTTCCCTGAAATATATTCCTAAAAAGGGGTCGCAACTGGTCTAAGAAGATGCACCAGCCGTTTTTGTTCAGGTGAGAGGCTCGAACGCCAGCTGGTCCCTGCTCCTTGGCTTTTTGGCGAGCCATGCGGTGCCAAACGGCAGTGGCTTGGGGGGTGTCTGGTGTATGGAGTTGTTTGTTGTTCTTTTTTGGGGAGGGGGGGGGGGGTTTGGGGGGGAGTCGAAGGAAACCCAAACGCAGAGCCGAAAGCCGTTTTGATGTTCTCAGAAAGCCCAAGCCTCGGACGTATCGGGAGAGGTGTGTCTCACAGCTGGGTGTTTTGGTTTTGGCTTCTCTTTAAAGCTACAAAGGGGTACCCAAAAAAAGGGCAGCCCAGGTGCAAGCATTGGGCAAGGGTGTTCGTTGACTGAAAGGAGGGAGTTCAGACTTGGCCATCAGACTGGCTCACAGACTTCGGGAGGGGAAAATCAGACACAGTTCCCTCCCAACAAAACTCACTTCCCCAGTTTCTGGACTTTATGTTTTTGGGGTTTGGACCATTTTAGTGGCCAACAAGCAGTTCCAGGACTTTTTCTGGACCATCCACTCGAGAAGTAAGACAAAGTGTTCAAAAAGCGAGCAACGGAGCCTTCACGCGGTCGCGCAGAGGCACGGGACTTTTCGTCAAAGTCTAGTTGGAGGCATCGGACACACCGAGTCGCGACTCGGTTGGCGATGGGGGAAGCATCCAAACAGATCCTAGAGCCCAAATGCTCACATCAGAATTGAGCAATCCATACCTAGAAATTTCTGGCCCCATGGCCATTTCTGTCTTTTATGAAATCTGGGAAAAAGCCACGCAGCGGTTTGAGTAGTTTTCAACCCGGTCATCCTACGCCTTATGACCTTTCGATCATCCAGCTGGCCGGAACTCTCTACCCATGAAGCACCTCTCGACCCGCAACTCCTGTCCCAGAGGATGAAGTGCTAACCGGAAGGCGAACGGCGAACCTGTTTGTTTTCCAGCAACCCCCCAACAAAGCAGCGGTTGGGGGGTGCTGGTTGGGTTGACGACTTTTTTTGTGAACCCGCACACGATTACGTAGTTGCGCAATCGATGTCAAGTTGGTGCCACTGGAACCCGGCTGGCTACCCCTTGGAAAAGTGGTGAATCACCTCGATGTTCCCAATCACATAAGCGAAATGCGCGCTCTTGATTCGAACTTGGGTTTCCTGCGTGCGCAACCTTCATGGTTGATTTTGATCCGGGCCACCTCTTGAACATCCAAAGGTTCCACGGTCCAACCACCCGATTTCTTATGGCATCTCTTTTGAGTTCACTTTCTATGTCGAGCAAAGCGAAAAGGGACAGCTTTCTTGTTCCCGGCAGGTTATGCGAACCCAGGTCGCTTCTACGGGTGTTCTGAAGAGGTTCGAAGAGCTTCTGCGGGTCTGCAAAGCACGTTCTTTTCTGTGCTTACCTGCTCAGAGTCCAAGCTGTTGACCTGGTTCTTGCCAGGTGTCTTCATGTGTTCTTCCCGGCTAGGTTTGCTATGGACCGGGAGCTTACCACATACTGTGGGGTGAACAGTTGAGCTAAGACGTGCTGGTCATGGTAATGGACCCCTAAAATCGAATTTTACCATAGCGGTTTCCCTAACACAGGGAACCATGACCATAGACACACAGGTGAGTTTTACCTCACAAATGAACTCGCCAGCCTCAGCCTACCTGCTGGCCGAGAGCCCTCAGCAGGGAGCCGAGTTGCGAGTCTCTCGTTGCCCAAAGCGAATCGACCGGAGCTGACCTTTTCGTTTGCCATGTTTGGTCTTGGTTTTTGCCCTTTTCCGTTGGTTTCCTTGGTTGTTGCTTGTTTCCCTTGATTTTTTCCTGGTTTTTGCCCGTTTTGCTGGGTTTCCCTTGGCTCTCCCTTGGTTTTTGCACGTTTCCCTTGGTTTCCCTTGGCTATTCCTTGGTTTTCCATTGATTTCCAATGGTTTCCCTCATTATTTCTTGGTTTCCCTTGGCTTTTGGTTGCCCACAAAGTGATCACCTTTTCTTGTTCTAGGTCCCCCAGTAGTGCCCTTTTACCGTTTCTTTTTTGGGGGAGGGTTCCCCTACTAAAATAGACTACAGAAAAAAGGGTACCCTTTTTCTAACCTCTCTACTGGAGGACCTAGTGTTAGCTTCCTAAGAAGCAACTGAGCTTACCTTCCAAGTCCTTACAGAACGTTTGGTTGCTCCGAAAGCTTCCTCATTACAGGCAAACTTAGATACCCCCTGCTCCGTAGCGGCTCTGTTTTGAGCACCAGTTAGGTTTTTTTCCCGGTTCGAACTATAGCTATTCGCCCAGAGCCCTTATTCAGTCTCCATTAAAAGTCACATCCTTGAAATCACCGTATAAATGGTTCAAAGGGAAGACCAGAGGCAGAGTTGGACGACCAGAGCCGCGAGTTGGAGGCCTCACCTTACAAGGAGTCGTTGGGGGTATGCTATCGTTAAGAGTTGCTTCGGGCTGCAAAGCATGCTTTTTGGGGTGGGGTGGGGGGGTGTTAGAGTCAGGATAGGGGGATGTTGGTTAACAACCGGGCTGTTCTAATGAACCCCTAAACCCCTAAACCCCACAACCCCTCAACCCCTCAACCCTGCCTGCTTTTACCTCAAGTGGCAGCTTCGATGGAAACCTATGGGTTTTTTGGAGCAACACATTCGGAGGGGCACCCGCAAAACAAAGACAGCCGCCATTTGAGTGTGTCGTTTTAAAGCTTGGACCCCACAAAGTGGCTGGCTTCCTTTTGGCTTCCCTTTGAAACCCACCAAAAGGGTTGATTGTTGTTGGGAAACATGTTTTTACAATTTTGCTTATTGTGGTTTAGTGGTTGAAATCCAATTTGTTTGCTCCCCTTTCAACGTCAAAAGAAAAGGGTTACCCACAATTGGATTGAATTTCATTGGCCGGGGCTGTCTGTTTAGACTGAGGCTTGAGCTGCTGCTTGAGGAAACGGAAACGAAGGCACCAGGCGGATTTTGGGCGGATGTTTGGTCGAGTCGGCTGTTGTTTTGGGAAAAAGTCAGGCCGGTTGCTTCACTGTTGCTGGCAAGCATTTAGGTTTTTTGTTTTTGTTGGTTCTGTTCATGTTTAGTAGGGGGTCTGCAAAAACACAGTTGTTTGCCATCATACCAATGGTTGCACAGTTTGCATGCGACCCCTTCAGGGCAACATTTTGTGACATGCTTCAAACAGACATCAAAGAGACACGCTGGGGATTCTTGCAGGGTTCTTGCAGGCATTTGAAGAAGCCTTTTTAAGGAAGTTGCTTTGGAGCCTTTGGATAATCAAAAGCCAGGCCGATCTGGCTCTCCTTGAAACCCAAAGGGGGTTCCCTCCCAAAAAGACAAGCCTTCTTGTTTGCCCTAGCGAACTTTCTGCCCTTCCCGGGGCAATCCGCAAGATCTTTCAATGTTTCGCAAGGAGTCTTCTTTGTTTAGGGTTGTGGATTGACCAAAGCTTCACTGCAGCTCAGAAGATCCAGGATGTAGGGGAGGGTCCAGGGGTCTGGGGGTTGTCAACCGAAAACAGTTGCAACCACAAGGAGAAGGCGCATGACGTGTGTCGTTGCCAACATATTGCCCTCGCTGCAACATGGAAGTTCACAGAACCTCTTTGCCAAGAGGAAGGCTGCAGAAGCATTTGTTCCATCTTGGCAGGGTGTGATATGTACGCACTCTTCTTCGCTTGTTGCCTTTTAGTTATATTCCATTTCTGGACGGGCTGCAAAGCGACAATTTGGCGCTGACATGCCTAACTTGTTCAAAGCGAAACGTTCATGTTGCACTGTCATTGGTCCGTTGTCTTGTTACGTGGTGGATGGCTCTGAAATAAAGCTTTGAACTTTGTTGGATGATGCTCAAAGCATAATAGGATTGGATCCGAGAGTCATATGCCTTTGGGGGGGAGCAACCCTTCTTCTGACTTCCGGGCTCAACATGACATTCAAGTTTGTTTGGCCCCATGCTCACCTTCCATCGCAAGCCGGAACTTGAAGCTGCACGTAAGGTATGGACCCCAGCAACACATTCAATTTGTCTTTGGCTGAACGTGGGCCAGTGAGGATGGAGAAGGGTTGAAGGCCTGGCCTGGTTTGTCCGTCCAGAAGGGCATGAGTGTTGGAAGGGAAGGCGACTCAAGAGGAACGCACCGCACCCATTTTTCCTGGGCTTTTCAGACTTTGTTGGGCCAATCCACTCGGGAAGTAAGGGAAAGGCCCCCAATTTGAGGCTGTTTGAGCCATCCAATTGCCTGGGGTGTGATTTTGATGCAGGCGCAGGAAGCGCAAAGTAACACAATTTTATTCAAAGCTCAAAATTTCCCACGAACATAGAACTTGACATGGTTCCCTTTCAGGGGAAGGTGATCTTTGGGTGGAATCTTTCGAAGGTGTCTTTTGGTTTCCCTTTTAGATCCCTGCGCCTCAGATTTCGGAGCATTCTGGATTTGTTTGGGAGGTGGGAGGTGAGGTTACCCGTTTGTTTGCTGTTTTTGCCGGAGAGCCAAAGAATGAGGAAGATTCGCCATGTTTTGATAGTACGTATTGCCAACTATTTTGGTGATGCCTTGACGGTTCCCATTCACTTCCTCACATGTTTAGTGGTTGTAGTTGCTGTAGTGGTTGGATTTTCCGAGTTTCACCCAGAAGTTCTTCACTTTTCGGTCTGAAAACGGACAGATTTCCTGCTTCGAGTGGGCCAGGCGATGCTGTGATGGCCCGGGCGCCCAGGGAATCGCGGATCAACGGCTTCGGCTTCGGATTCGAAGTTATTCAGCTTGACTGCCATTGGGTTGGATCTTTGGACTTTTTTTTTTTTGGGCGGGGGGGGAAATCAAGGGGATTCCACTAAACCCCCAAAAAGTGAAGCTTTTTGCTGGGGGGGGGTTCAACAACAACCAAGTCATGTTGCCCCCGGATGAATCAACCCCTGGTGTTCATTACGGGAGGGTGTCCCTGTTTTTTTTTTGGGGGGGGGGGATGCATCACTCTTGGGGTGTTCCCCAATTTAAGAAACTGGGGTTGATTCATCCCTGGTCAACATTAGCAAGGGTCTCTCTTTTTGTTGTAGGGTACCCCACAAATGGTAGGTGTCCTTTTGGGTTTCCTTTAAAAATGGGACCCCCTCAAAAAGGACACACCCATATGTTAAAGTCCTGGATTGTGAGTTTTTATATGTACAACCGTGTGTCAATTGGTTTTTAAATACACACATCGAGTGAGCTTCGGGACTGGACCAGATCCGCTTCGCTGGGATGGATGCGTTTGGGCCGTGACTTATGTCAGTCAGCAGGCAAGATGTTCCGGTCCAGATTCTGGCACGACCTCACTCCCGAAGGCTCCTTCCTTTTGGGTTAGGTTTTTTAAGGTGTGTGAAGTATTGCAATTGTCCCATTCTGTGAGGGGAGTGCCTTTAGCTAGCCAGTTTGGGAGCGAAGCCAGGATTGACAACCTCCTGCTTGATTTTGAGGGTGCAATCCAAGTTGGGAATCCAAATTATTGTGGAGCTGCACCAGACATATCTGCCAAAAGAATGGTGAGCCCATTTAGACAATCACTGCTGTTTTTGTGTGCCGTCGAGTCCATCCGACGCTCGGTGCATTCGCACGAGCTCACGCGTTGGGTCCCCAGCGACTAACCCAGTTTTTATCTGGGTGTCCTTGAGGCTGAGTGAGGGTTCCTTGCGCTTTGGACGGAGGTTGGATTTGGGGGATGTCTGTGTCTTTTGTCTTTTGGTATCCCTTGAGGCATTTTTCCTCGATTTCTCACAGCCAGGTACCGCAGATGTTCAGATGGTGATAACGATGAAAAGGCAGCCAACTGAGACTTCTGCCTATGTTTGCCCTAGTCTTCCAAGCGTTCCTCTAGGGAAGCATCCTCTAGGGTTGTACCCGTATTGAGGCCAAAGGCCAAATGTCCAGTCTATGGTTCATTTGGGAGGGACATGGGGGAACTCGCTCATTTTCCCACAGAAAACAGCTGATGAATGCTGGCAGGCATTTGTTTCCATCCCACCAATGGAACCTGACACAAAAGACAAATTATCTTCCAGGACCCCCCCCCTGTCCGGTTCCACGTTAATTGATGGGAGGGTGCCATGTGTGGTGACCTAGCGGGGATTCGTCAACCTCTAGATCAGGTAGTGCTTCATGGGGAAAACAAAATGCGAGAAATCACTGGCAATGGGAGTTCCTGGCTTCATTTGCTCATTTATTGAAAACACACCCCGAACCTGCACCTGATGAAAGCAGTGGAAGCTGATTTCCGACATATTTCCAACCAGCTTCCTTTGTGGCACCAATTTTGGTTCATCCCAACCGTTCAGGGAGGGAACCCTGTTTCTTTTCCCAGGCGGAAAGCAAGCTGGAACATCAACCAGCGAGGCACAGCGAACCGAACCTCCTCCCCGGCCAAAATCGCTGACTTTGGCAGCTCAAACCGTACCCGCTTTCCATGTCAAGCATGTTAGGTCACGTGAACTAGCATTGTCTTTAGTTGGTGTGTGTGTGTGCTTTGTGCCGTGTTTGTTTTGCTGATCACTGTTCTGTTGGTAAGTGTTGCTGTACTTTGTTACTTGGTGTTTGGAGTCTAAAAATGTGTCGTTTCGGGCAATCTAATTACGTTTGGGACGCAAGGGAGGTCCTTTTCACCAGTACAAATTCGGGTGGGTTCGAGACGGTCACATACCAACCCGCCGCGAAGAACCCTGTGATTGGAATCAAACTCCTTTTATGATGACTTATGGATTATAAACCCAGAAATCCTCACTCACTGCCCCAAACTGAAGGCTCATTCGTGTGCTGCAATCACCACATTTTGGCCAAGAGGCCCTTTCTTTTTCCGTATCCGTTGAGTTGCCAAGCTTCAGGTTTCTTCCTCATGGCCCCAAAGAAGTTCGCTCAACTCAGCACGTAGCTCGCGCTATGGCGCTCTCGACTCTGGTGGTCGGGCTCCTACTAAGTGGCACGGGTGCAGCCAGGCTCGCCGAGGACAGCGGGAGGTGACAAGTTGGTTGGTCCATGTTTTGGCGGGCTGCCCGAAATCCATTTCGCAGCGTTCAGAAACCCTGGCATGACTCGATTCCCCTGTGCACACCAACAAACGTTCTGGTTTCCGATGGTTCCACGGTCTTGCACTGGATTTCTTCCCCCCCCCCCAACCTCCAACCCGCAACCTCCAACCCGCAACCCCCCCCCCTTTCCCCCCCAACCTCTAGTGAGGACGTCGGCCAGAGCGAGGGCCCCGAGCTGGAGGTGTCGCTGCTGCAGCGGCAGCTGCGCCTTTCCCGAGGGCGCGCTTCCCCCTGGCGGCCCTGGCGCATCGGAAGGAAGTCGAGCCGAAAACCGAAGGAAGACTCGGCGGCCCGGGGTGGCTTTCAGCACAAGGATCCTTTTATCGCCACAAGAACCAACTTTTAAGGACCTTTCGCAAATAAGAAAGGGTTGCCATGCACCTGCCAGATCATGTCCACCGAGCATTTGGGAGGGTATTCCTATTTGCCGATATTGTCGTGAGGTTCAAGTATAGAGTTGGTTTTCTGGTAGGGAATCCAGTTGCGAATGAACCGGTTGGGATCCCCTTGAATGAAACCACAAGGGATGGTTCAGTTTGGTGTCAATGCAACTCATTCTCCAGGGAGCCAAGCAGTCCTCATGGACTGTTTCGAGGGGTTGAATCGAATATCTCCGCTCCATCGGACAGTGACAAGGGTGTTTGCCTATCTTCCAGCGCAGACGTATTCTTTTGATCATGTTCATGGTTTTGGGCAGACTCCGAATGACATTATGTTTGGTTAGGACTAAATGCGTCGTTTAGTAGGTGGTGAGCAACCAAGGTGTTCAGATTTCAGGGTGATGGTTGCTTTAAGATGACGCTTCCCCTTGGAGTGATGTTCAAGGAAGGAATACCAGACAGCTCTCCAGACCTGGGCTTCGGAGAAGTGAAGTCCCAAGTTTGGGCAATGGACGATTTTAGCTGTCTATCCACAGCTAGCATGCAAGGTTTGGGAAATCTATGAAAGACTGTCTATGTGTCGGTTTCGCTGGACAGGTTGCAAAAGAACCTTACTTCCGAGTTCATGCACTTTAACCTTTGTGGGAAGCCCGTCTTAGCGGCAAACGCACAGTTTGGACTTTCTCTTACCAATCCACTCAGGAAGTGAGTAACTCAAAAAGCGCAAACCCACCGGGTGCATTGCCCCGTTCTGAGGGCGGGCAAGAACGGCGACGTGTTGCGCTCGGGCGCCAGCACTGTAGTCCTGCCATCGCTGACGCATCGAGCACCCAACTGGACCTGGACGGCTGACGCCATTGTGCGGGCGTCTCCTATCGTGGATGAGGCCAACCGGCGGGACCCACTCTCCGGCTTGGTTAGAGATAAATTTGGCGGCTCTCAGCCGTTCGGTTCCTTAGGTGTTATTTTCTTTTTAGTTGAGTGGTTGGATTGCTGTTTAACCCACTAGTTAATCACTCTTAGCGGGGGATCTGAAAACGGACAGCACAGATAAAGTTGGAGCCGTGTATGTTGTTCTTTGCTTCGACGGTGTGTGTGTGTGTGTTTACCAAAACCCCTACGCCGTGGGTGGTCAGAAGGCGAATGGTGGGCAAGTAGTTCCTTCCCAACCGGGCTTTGCAATAAATTCAGGGGCCTGTGATGGTTCCTGTATGCCAAACAACTTGGGCCAGGGTTGTGGGATCAAGGGGTTTATCCCCACTTCTGTGATACAAGGGAATCCCCTTTTTCTATGGGGGGTTAGTATTTGTGAGGCTCTTTTTGTTGTATCACAGAAGTGGATTCCATTTCCCACAGCCCTGACTTGGGCAGAGTTTCTCTTCATGTTTCCCAAACGGTTCAAAACTTTGGCTTCGACATGCTCTGATCAAACTTGCCACCTCCCAAACACGGCCCCAGTGTTTGGTCTGTGTTTCGCCTTCCCCCAAAGAAATGTGAGCCACAATCAAAACCCGGGTAGATGACGCAGAAAGGGGCAGTTGCCAGAAAATGGAAATAGCCGCCAAGTCTAATTTCCTCTGGATGTGAGGCCAATTTTTAGGTTTGCCTTGCGACTCATGTGGTCCTGGACCCAAAGGGTGCGATCGGCAGCCTCGGCTCAAGCATCCAACACGCTCTCTCGCTATCCGCTCTCGCCCTTTCGCAGTCATGCGTGAGCTCGTGCACGTGCAGGGTGGACAGTGCCTGTTCCTGCAATGGATGTTTTCTTTCGACCTGTTTCCGTCCGTCCTTGCTCATAGGGTTCTCATGTCTGCAAATATGTCCTCATAGCTTTTGGTGGTCGGTGTGTTTAAATACCAAAGAGCTTACTGCTGCCATGTGGGTCAATGGAGGTGCCCTTCTCAGGTCTGGGTTTCACCGTCCCTCGAGCTTTCTTTTTCCCCGAACGGGCAACAGCATACTTTCTACAAACAAAATAGGGAGCCTTCTCTCCTCAGGTAGCCGCAGATGCTTATTTGACTTTGGCTCATGTGCGTTTACTAGTTTTGCCTTTACTTTATTGCCGGGTTCAGGCTTTTTGTCGGAACTGCAAAAACGCGCGTTGGGACAACCCACTGATGGTTTGAGAAAGCTTGGCTTTTCTTTCATATACCAGTCAATGATGAATTGTTACCAGCGTTCCCGGAGTGAAGGCAATGCAAAACATATCTCAATCATCAGGTCATGCAGCTCAAAATGCGGGAACTGCGGGGTTTGGCATGATGG